GGGACGTGACTGAGACCTACAGACATGAACTATGTTTGATACCTAAAGAATAAACAGGACATTTTGTATCACCTGAACTTCATTTTAATTTACTTACAGCAGCAGCATTAGTAGTACTCTCACATGTTGAGCTGCAGTAGTAGTAGTAGTAGATGTAGTAGTAGTAGTAGTAGTACTAGATGTAGTAGTAGTACTAGATGTAGTAGTAGTAGTACTCACACGGTGGGTTGGGAGTTTCGGACGATCTTGGCGTATCGTTCCAAACTGATGAGACCCATAAACATGATTCCAGTGTACATGGAGAAGTAAAACAAGACCCTCACAAACCTGCAAAAAAAAAAAAAAAAAACTGGTTCAGTCCTGGTTTAGGTCTGGTTTGACCCTGATCAACCTGATCAACCTGACCAACATCATGAACCTGACCGACATCATGAACCTGACCAACATCATGAACATGATGATGATGATGTAATGGATGATGATGATGTGAATGATGATGATGATGATGTGATGATGATGATGATGATGATGATGATGATGAATGATGATGATGATGATGTAAATGGATGTGATGATGTGATGATGATGATGTGAAATGGATGTGATGATGTGATGATGTAATGGATGTGATGATGTAATGGATGTGATGATGTGATGGATGTGATGATGTAATGGATGTGATGATGTGATGATGCAATGGATGTGATGATGTAATGGATGATGATGTGATGATGTAATGGATGTGATGATGTAATGGATGTGATGATGTGATGATGATGTGATGATGTGATGATGTGATGATGTGAATGATGATGATGGATGTGATGATGTGATGGATGTGATGATGTGATGATGGATGTGATGATGTGATGATGATGATGTGATGATGTATGATGTGATGATGATGATGTGATGATGTAATGGATGTGATGATGATGATGTAATGATGATGATGATGATGATGATGATGTAATGGATGTGATGATGTGATGATGATGATGATGATGATGTGGATGATGATGTGATGATGATGATGTGGATGATGATGTGATGATGTGATGATGTAATGGATGTGATGATGTAGATGATGATGATGATGATGATGGATGATGATGATGATGTAATGGATGTGATGGATGTGATGATGATGTGATGATGTGGATGATGATGTGATGATGTGGAATGATGTGATGATGATGATGTGATGATGTGATGATGATGATGATGATGTGATGATGATGTGATGATGTGGATGATGATGTGATGATGTAGATGATGATGTGATGATGTGGATGATGATGATGATGTGATGATGATGATGTGATGTGATGTGATGATGTAATGATGTGATAATGTGATGGATGTGATGATGTAATGGATGTGATGATGTGATGGATGTGATGATGTAATGGATGTGATGATGTAATGATGTAATGGATGTGATGATGTGATGATGCAATGGATGTGATGATGTAATGGATGTGATGATGTGATGGATGTGATGGATGTGATGATGTGATGATGTGATGATGTGATGATGTGATGATGTCAGGATGTGATGAATGTGATGGAGGGATGTGATGGTTCCAGTTTTCAGGAACCATGTTATTGGTGATATAACTGTAAGTTTTATGTTTTGCTGCACAAGTTGCTGCTCCAGTGACTGCAGCGAGTCCAGCCCTGCCCCCCCAATGAGTCGGTCCCAGGTTCTAAGTGTGCCTCATGGAGACAAAACTGTTTAGTTCTAGTCTAGTCCTGGTCCGGTCCTGGTCCAGTACCTGCACATGATCACGTGCAGTCTCCAGCCTCCCACCCCGAGCTGGGCCAGGAGTTTAAAGGGGAAGCAGAGGAGCATGAGGAGGTCGGCCAGCAGCATGTTCTTCAGGTACACCACCAGGGCGGCGTCAGAGGGCACGCGGCAGAACACGAAGGAGGCCACGGCGTTCAGGAGCAATCCCACAATGCACAGGGCCAGGTAGAGCGGGGGCAGGACCTGAGGGAAATGCCCAAAACGATGAGTCACATATATACTATACAGTCTCGTCCTGTAAAGAGTGTGACGTCACCCACAGCCTTCAGCTCCAAATGAAACTCATCAAGTCTAACGATTATAGTGGCAAATCCGGAGCTGAATTCTGACCGCGAGTGTCACAGGGACTAAAGAGCCAATCAGGAGCGAGGCTGTTGAAGGTAACGCCCCTTCCCGCCCACACCTCTGGTTTAACAGGGAGCGAACGCTTTGTAATGCTGAGACGCTGAGAGCACCTCAGGGAGCAAAGTCACCTGATCGATCTGTTATTAACGTCCAGATCTTGATTTAGAGATAAAATGTTGACATTTATTGAATAAAGTCAAAATGGTTATTGGCAAAATGGTAAAAAAAATAAATTAAAAAATTACACAGATCCGATTTTTTCAAATGTGACCCAGGCCACTTGTAGCCTGATTCATCAGCCCGTTTCACTTTGTAGAAACCGTCTGACCTCACAGCATTAGGATTTGTTCGCTCGACAGTAGGCGGGTACTTTTTTTATTTAACCAATCGCTGCTGTTTGGTTGTGACGTGTGTAATGCTCCATTAATGGGATTAACTGGTTTATTAAGCTTTTCCCAAATCCCATAAGAAGAAGAACAATAACGTCTTTCCCCTTGATAAAATTCACCAAACATTCTCTTTGTTCCGGCTTTAAATCTTCGGGGATCTTGGGAATCGTCGACAACACAGAATATATGACTCTTCACTGATTGGCTGGTGCCTGAACTCACACTTCTGGGGTTCTTGTAAACCGTCTATTGTCTTTTGATTCCTGGTCTAGTCGCTGGAGAGAAATGACATTGAGTGGAGGCAGTAGGTGGCGTATCCCCCTCACTGATGTTCATTTAGCATCAGAACTTATTTTATCTCACGGCGATAAACTATTTGAGTGCTCTGACAATTCGTGTGAACCTTGTGGTGTTAAACCACAGACCCGGAAATATGAATGAAAAATGTGCCAAAGACCTGTTATAGACCTGGTTTAGATCTGGTTTAGACCTGTTATAGACCTGGTTTAGTCCTGTTATAGACCTGTTATAGACCTGGTTTAGACCTGGTTTGGACCTGGTTTAATCCTGTTTGGACATGGTTCATGTTTGCTCTTTAAACGTGGTGTTGTAAATCAAAGTTGAAAGTGTGAGTGTTAAAGTGCGAGTGTTAAAGCGCGAGTGTTAAAGTGCGAGTGTTAAAGTGCGAGTGTTAAAGTGCGAGTGTTAAAGTGTGAGTGTTAAAGTGTTAAAGTGTGAGTGTTAAAGTGTGAGTGTTAAAGTGTTAAAGTGCGAGTGTTAAAGTGCGAGTGTTAAAGTCAGAGTGAGTTTGTTACCTCCTCTGTGAAGACGCTCCTGAAGTCTGAAGACGACGACAGGTTTGAGGGACGAGAAGATGAGTTCAGCCTGTCCTCCATCTGTCTGAGAGAGACCACACAGTCAGATGCCCTCCCACACTCCCACACTCCCGGACCCCGTGTGTCAGATGCCCTCCCACGCTGTGGCATTGTGTAACCTAAATTTTAAGACTTTTAAAATGGATTTGACTCACAGATTGTCGGCTGTTCTTCGGTTTATGCTCCTGCTGTGAGTCCAGGTCCGGACCAGAAGGACGAGTCTGAACACAGTCAAAGATCATCTGTGACATGAAGCATCTGCACTCTGAGGAGCTCAAGAGTCACGACAGACAGACTCAAACTCAGAGAGGCAGAGTTTCAGGTTCACGCAGCTAAAACCTGGATGAGTCTGAACATGAGACACAGACTCGACTCTGACTCTGTTTAAATCCAAACTCTAAACCACAGGTGTCAAACATACGGCCCGAGGGCCAGATCCGGCCCTCCAACACCTTTAATTTGGCCCTTAGCTGATTTTCTACTAAAATATTTTAATTATATTTTCTATTAAAATGGTGTTAATTTTCTGTGGTGTTTATCACAGCAGCGTCTCCAGCGTCTCTGTACGTGGCCCCTCCCACCAGAGCAGCACAAATGAAGACTTGTCTCTTTCCAAACGCTCTTAAAGGACGATCGTTTTGACTGTTGACCGTGACACCCTCATCAGAAAAATGTCCAACATGAGAAAAGTGGAGCCGAGTGCAGGATTTTACAACAAAAATGGACTTATTCCTGTTTACAGACAAGTTCATGTTAAAACTTTTGTGTTGAAATTGTATTTTTCTTAAAGTTTCAGGTTGTTCATAATATTATAATATTTTGTAAAAGAAAGAGTTCATCAATTAAAAAAGATTTGTGTAATAGATTTGTGTTTCTCTGCACAAATATTTGAACTTCTTGTTATTTTTGGGGTTTATATGACATGAGTTTTCTGATCCGGACACTTTGGATCAGAGTCGGTTGGACACGACCCCCGGAACAACATGAGTTTGACTCTCCTGGACTAAACGCTTCTGTTCTGACTCAAAGGTTTTCATTCTGCACTCTTCTCTCACATTTATTCAATGAATGTCTCTCTCTCTTTTTAATTTCATGATGATTATTTATGTTTTGATTTGTTTTTATTGTGATATTCATGTATTTCTTATTCTGTAAAGCTCTTTGAATTACTTTGTGTATGAATTGTGTTATAAAAATAAACTTGCCTCGTCTCTGCTCCTCTGACTCATTTAAAACTGCAGAATAAAGTCAAACTCATTTGAAATGCAAAGTGTTTCATGGGAAGATGAGTTTCTGCTCAGTTACACTGAACTCATGTCTGTTACACACACACACACACACACACACACACACACACACACACACACACACACACACACACACACACACACACACACACACACACACACACACACACACACACTGATTATTTCTATCAGAGTCAAGATTCATTATCAATTCACACCTCAACATCTGCAACACAAAAACCATCCACAAACTGAAATATGAAGTAGCAGTAGTAGTAGTAGTAGTAGTAGTAGTAGTAGTAGTAGTAGTAGTAGTAGTAGTAGTAGTAGTAGTAGTAGTAGTAGTAAATATAACAGTACCTGTCTCTGTCGGCGTTGAACCCTCAACTTTGCCTCTTCAGGAAACAAACTGAGAATGTGTAGACAGACCTTTGCAAATCAAATGTTCAAACCAGAACTAAACCAGGACTAAACTCAGACTAAACTCAGACTAAACTCAGACTAAACCAGGTCTAAACTCAGACTAAACTCAGACTAAACCAGGACTAAACCAGGACTAAACCAGGACTAAACCAGGACTAAACTCAGACTAAACTCAGACTAAACCAGGACTAAACCAGAACTAAACCAGGACTAAACTCAGACTAAACTCAGACTAAACCAGGACTAAACTCAGACTAAACTCAGACTAAACTCAGACTAAACTCAGACTAAACCAGGACTAAACTCAGACTAAACTCAGACTAAACCAGGTCTAAACTCAGACTGGTGCCTCTCTTCACCTGTCAGTTCTTTATCTGATGAGGAAACAGGATGCTCTTCTGTGATTGGTCGCTGCAGCTGTCAGTCACACAGCTTGGTTATTATATTTGGGACGGTGGGGACGTCCTGCGACTACAGAACAGTTTTTACAGACTCGCCTTGATAAAAATATTGATCATATTGATTTATGTGTAAAGTCCTGGGCCACGTTCACATCTTGATGTTTCAGGAGCTTTTCAGCCGGAGCTGCTGCAGTGTGTGTGTGTGTGTGTGTGTGTGTGTGTGTGTGTGTGTGTGTGTGTGTGTGTGTGTGTGTGTGTGTGTGTGTGTGTAATATCTCCCAGCAGCCTCTCTGTTTGTGTCTTTACTTCCTGTTCTCAATCTCTCGATCTCTGTTTTTTTTTTTTTTTTTTTGCTGAGTCGTGTTACGTTGAGTAAATCTTTAAATAACAGATCACAGGAAGCTGAGGGTGAAACACACTGACATGATAAAAAGTCCAGAAATAAAATGAACACTTCACTTCTGAAACAGACGTTTGTGTGTCGACGCCAACGCTGATGCTAAAATTACAAAAACACCACAAACTGAAGCACGAGTACATCTCAAAAACACATTTCACAAAGTCAAACACAAATATTCCACAGTGTGTGAAAAGAAGTGTCCAATGTGAGTGTGACGTCACCACAGGCTTCAGCTCCACTCAGACCAAGCTCCCTGTCAACAACAACAACAACAACAACAACAACAACAACAACAACAACGACAACAACGACAACAACAACAACAACAACAACAACAACAACGACAACAACAACGACAACAACAACAACAACAACAACAACAACGACAACAACAACAACAACGACAACAACAACAACAATGACAACAACGACAACAACAACAACAACGACAACAACAACAACGACAACAACACAACAACAACAACGACAACAACAACAATGACAACAACAACAACAACAACAACGACAACAACAACGACAACAACAACGACAAAAACAACAACAACAACAAAACAACAACGACAACAACAACAAAACAACAACGACAACGACGACAACAACAACATCAAAAACAACAACAACAACAAAAACAACAAAAAAACAACAAAAACAAAAAAACAACAACAACAACAATGACAACAAAACAACGACAACGACAAAAACAACAAAACAACAACGACAACAACAACAACAACAAAACAACGACAAAAACAACAAAACAACAACGACAACAACAACAACGACAACAACAACAACAAAAACAAAAACAACAACAACAAAAACAACAACAACAACAACAAAAAACAACAACAACAAAAACAACAACAACAACAAAAAACAAAACAACAACAACAACAACAACAACAAAACAAAAACAACAAAACAACAACAAAAACAAAAAAACAACAACAACAATGATATCAAAAACAACGACAACAACAAAAACAAAAAACAACAAAAACAACAAAACAACAAAAACAACAAAACAAAAACAACAACAATGACAACAACAACAAAAACAACAACAACAACAACAACAACAAAACAACAACAACAACAAAAACAACAACAACAACAACAAAACAACAACAACAAAAACAACAAAACAACAAAAACAACAACAACAAAAAAACAACAACAACAACAACAACAACTTTTACAGACTTAAAACAGATAGAATCATTGTAAAATATAAAGTAGAGGACTTCACAGATTTCACCGATCGCGGGTTATTTTTAGAACATGACCCCTGCGATAAACGAGGGACACTGTTTCCCGGTTTCGTCACGGTGCGTGTATATATGCACCAGTTTCAATATCCCAAATAAACACTGTTAGTCAAATGACTTTAAAACTGTAATGTGATATTTATGACTTGTTTCTGTCATTTCAAAGTCATTTGTTACATTATAATATTACTGTATTTAAAATGTAAAACATGACACGACTATTACAGAACTTTGAAGTTACTCTCAACAAAATAACTGCCAAGATGCTGAAGATTTGCACCATATACAGTGTTGGGGAGTAACAGATTACAAGTACCACAGTTATGTAATCAGAGTACAAATGATGAGTAACTGTATTCAGTTACAGTTACTGTTTCAGTGAGTGGTAATTGGATTACAGTTACTTTGTTGAAATAAATGGATTACACAGAGGGATTTAACTGTTTTTACATTTTGGGCGATATCCTTTTTTTTTTTTTTTGGTAATTCCACTCATTGCCGGACACTAAACCAGATCTAAACCAGGACTAAACCAGATCTAAACCAGGTCTAAACCAGGACTAAAACCAGGTCTAAACCAGGTGTCCTGCTGTGTGGACGTGTTTCTTCATTTTCTATCAATAATATTTTTAATTTGGTTCAGTAAAATCTGGGCTTTTTATTATTTTTATTTATTTTAATAGAGAAAACTTCTTATGTGAAGATTTCCTCGTCTTTGTTTCTCTACAGCAAATCAAGTAATCCAAAGTAATCAGATTACATTACTCACTTTAAGTAATTTAATGGATTCTGTTACAAACTACATTTTGGTGTGTGTAATCTGTAATCTGTAGGGGATTACATTTTAAAAGTAAACTTCCCAACACTGACCATATATGGACTGAACCAGGACTAAACCAGGTCTAAACCAGGACCAAACCAGGACTAATCTTGGGCTAGAACTTGGAATCTAGGACCGCCCCTGAGAGATCCCAGAGTCCGTGGAACAGGGAGTCTGCAAAGAGCGACTGGGTGTCAGCTGCTCTTCGTCCCATGGAGGGTGGAGTTCTGCGTCGGTCCTTTCAACCGTGATCACCTGACGGTCGACACGGGCGCATCTCCAGCGTTTCACTGCTGCTGATATCACGGTTATTTTAGAGAATTTGTATGAACAAAAACCCACCACTTCAATCCAGGTTACAAAACAAGAAAAAAATAAAATAAAATATAATAATAATAATAATAATAATAATAATAATAATAATAATAATAACAATCATAATAATAATAATAATAATAAAACGTAATAAAAATAAGTTGAGTTTATTTATGCAGAAGATTTTAATGTGGATTTCTCCTCACGCTGGTTGAACTTCCCGAGCTTCCGACGCTAAAGGAGCTCATGGGTGTTTGTATTTTTCCTGGTTCATTAAATTAAATAAAGTTCAATTTTGCGTTTCGCATTTGTAAGATTCTGTCACTCCATTTGATCATGTCACAGGGATATGAAGTTCTCAGCGACAGTGTTGGGAAGTTTACTTTTAAAATGTAATCCCCTACAGATTACAGATTACACACACCAACATGTAGTTTGTAACAGAATCCATTAAATGACTTAAAGTGAGTAATGTAATCTGATTACTTTGGATTACTTGATTTGCTGTAGAGAAACAAAGACGAGGAAATCTTCACATAAGAAGTTTTATCTGATAAAAGAAAATAAAAAGTCCAGATTTTAATTTTACTGAACCAAATTAAAATAATATTATAGAAGATAGAAGAAGAAGAAACACGTCCACACAGCAGGATTTAGTCCTGTTTTTGAGACATAGTTTAGTCCTAGTTTTAGTCCTGGTTTAGTCCTGGTTTAGTCCTGGTTTTAGACCTGGTTTTAGTCCTAGTTTAGTCCTGGTTTAGTCCTGGTTTTAGACTTGGTTTAGTCTTGGTTTAGCCCTGGTTTATTCCTGGTTCTAGTCCTAGTTTAGTCCTGCTTTAGTCCTGCTTTTAGTCCTGGTTTAGACCTGGTTTAGTCCTGGTTTAGACCTGGTTTAGACCTGGTTTAGACCTGGTTTAGACCTGGTTTAGACCTGGTTTTAGTCCTGGTTTTAGTCCTGGTTTAGTGTTTGGCAATGAGTAGATTTACCAACAAAAAAAAAGGGATTTAGCCCAAAATGTGAAAACAGGAAAATACTGTCCTGTAATCCATTTATTTCAACAAAGTAACTGTAATCCAATTACCACTCACTGCAACAGTAACTGTAACTGAATACAGTTACCGTACGTAATCCCGGTACATGTAATCTGTTACTCCACAACACTGTACACAACACATCGGCATTTTCCTCCAGTCAGTTCACTTCCTGCCTCCATCTGATTTCTCGCGCTGACAAACGTGGCCCTGTGACGTCACGTGAAACCCAGATATCACCAACTGTTTCTACTTGCGCTGAGTCGCCGGGGCACAGTGAATCGAACTGCACTCAAAGGACATTTTGTACGGAATCTTGTGATGGTCATTTTCATTTCTACGCACTAGCTGAACTTACCGGCTGTTGTAGAAAAGCCCCCCCCCCCTGTGGCCACAGACTTTGACGCTCTGTCTCTGCTCACTTGTTGTGCACCTGGAATCTCGTTTAATCAGAAGACGCCTTGGACTATTAGTCGGTTGGAAAGCAGCAGTGTTTAGTGGCGCTATTATTACCTGCTTGTTTTTTTGTATTTGCTGTCCTCTGATTGTGTGAATTGTGTGCGTCCTACACAAGTAAGTGTTCGTTGTTTGATGTGTGTCAATTCACACATCAAGAATCTCAGACTTCTGATCATTGTGCAGTTCACACTGAGAAGGATTTTCTGAAAAAGTGAGCGTCAAACCTCCATGTTTGTTTTCCCAGTGGGATGTGTTTATTGTCAAAGTCGATCTTTTCAAGTCTTTTGAACCATTTCACTTTTGTTTCTGGTTCTGATATTGTCATATTTTAGTTTTGGGATTCGAACATCGTAATTGTTGTGGTTGTTGGATCCAAACAGCGGAAAACGGCTCGAGAAATGTGTTTGTGAACTTTATAAATGCAAAAGTGAATCAGATGTGTGTGACTCAAACCTCTGTTCAAACTGTTTCTCTTCCCAACAGAATTGAAAAATAGTGAAAGGTGAAGGTGATGGGCAGGATTGATCCACAGGAAGAA